AAAATTGTGGAAATCATCACCGATAAAGATAATTACAATGCTAATGCTTGGCAAGAAATCTCCAAAGAGGAAGCCACTGTCGATAGTTTAGATAAAGCCATTGTTATTCTCAAAAAAATCAAAAGTGCTTACAATGGGATGGATGAAATATCTACCGACTATAATAAAGGCTACCAAAGACCGGGAGATACGGCTTGAAATCAAGTCCAAACCAATTGTGAGACCCGAAGAAGTAAAGTCCTAACCATCGACCCCGACTTCTTGGATGATTTAGAAATCTATTTTTTATGTGATGTAGTCCGAGATAGTGAATTAAACCCTCACAAAATCTTTAAAGCAGTTATCCCTAAAAAACTAGCCCAGGGAGTAATTGCCACTATTCATGACGAAAAATCTGTGGTTTACCGAATTATCAACCCCGAGGAAATCCAACACGAAAAAACTCTCGGAGGAGGAATGGAAAAGTTTGCTTATCATGTCGAAGTAGTGGGAGGAATGATACCTTTCACTAATGCCTGAGCCTTAGTGGATAGTGGAACCTAAATATTTATAAATTATGACCAATAAAGAATTATTAAAACAAGAACAGCAAGCCAAAATCTATGCTAGCCAACTAATCAAATCCCGCTCGGTCAAACCGGAAGGAGAGGAATTAAGTTTCGGAGTTCAGGGATTTTGGCAAGAAATGGTGCTAACTTATTTAAAAGATAAAGCCCTTAATTTTGTCGGAACTACTTTAAAAGAATTAGCTATTAACCATTTAGTAGATTTAGCCGAATGATTATTAATTAGATTAGAGGAATATTTACTAACTAAATACCAAACAGCCACCCAAACCGAAAAAGCATTATTTAAGAAAAAGATGCTGGAAAAATTTCCGAATAGTGAATTAAGTCAGAAATTATAATTTGCTTACTTTTTAAAAGTAAGATGACCGAAGGCTTTTGGCTTTTTATTAAACAACGAAATATAAAAGGCAATAACCGAAGGCTATAAAATTTTAAGCATTAAAATATTATGAAAATATTAACCCAATTCCGATACCGAAATAAAGGAGGAGGCAATCCAGCCCAAGTTAAAAAGTTAGAGGGCAAATTAAAACAAACTCAAACTGATTTAAACTCTATTCTAAACGAATGAAAGTGAGGAAACAAACCTATTACCACAGCCGAGGACTTTTTAAATAAGATGAAACCTTGAATAAAAACCCGAAATGAAGAAATGGAAACTTTGAAAAAGTTTCTCAAAAAGTATAAGATTACCAGTTTATCAGATATCAAAGAAATCAAAATTAAAGGAGGATAATAATATTTAAATTATTATATTTATGAATTATGAAATACCGAGAACAACAAATTAGAAATATTTTAAAACAACACCAAAATAAGTGAGAGCAAGAACGGCAAACCTTACAGCAAGATATTTACCAGTTAGAAAATAGCACCGACTTAAAACTGTTAAACCAAGCCCAAGATAAGCAAAAAGAACTCCAAGAGGCTTTGGATAATATTATTGCCTTATTAGGTAAAAAAGAAATCAAAAACTTAAAAGATATCCGGAAACTATTAGCCGGTAAATCTTTAAAAGAATTGATAAATACTAATACTCTTTATAGTCAAAAAATAACTGATTTAGAGAATTCTTTATTAGATTTAGGCAAAAGCAAACTAAAAGGGAAGCAGGAATATTTAAAGTTAGTCGAACAGTTAGAGCAAAATTATAAAGAAAAGGAACAAGCCTGAACTAATAAATATGCCGAGCAAGGACAATTATTCTTACAGGAAAAGCAAGAATTAATGGAAGAGCATAAAAAAGCCCTTTCCGATTTACAAGCCACTCACCAATCCAGCCAAAAAGAGCAAGCCCAACAAATCCGAGATTTAACTTTTAAATTAGACCAACAGAAGAATCAGCATAACCAAGATATAAAAACTTTATCCCTTCAAAAATCCACCATAGAAATTAATTTTAGCCATTTTAAAGAAGAGCAAGCCCAGCAACTTACCTATTTAAAAGAATTATTAAACTTACCTGCTCCTACCTTTGCTGATTTAACTGAAAGAATAAAGCCTTTTGTTCGGTTAGAAAAAGAAGCTAATTTATTAGCTCAGCAAGAAAAGCAATTAAATCAGCACCAGCAATTAGCCCAGGAAATCAAAGGAATGGTGGATAGCCGTATAGTTCAATTTCTAGGCAAAAAAGAAGTTTTGGAGAAATTGGAAGAAATTATAACAGAGAGAGAGAGACGAAAATAGTGAAATAGATTAATTTATACATTTATGACAAAAGCCCCATCCCAAAAAGACCTCTGAAAGGCTCAAATCCTTGAATTTTTCCACCAATACTTTATCGGTATCTCTAATTTAGAATGCTCCCAAGAGAATTGCCCCTTAGTTTCCAACTGAAACTCCCTAGAAAAAAAACAGTCTAAAAATGGCAAGGGTGCTTTATATTTGGTTTCCCAAAAAGAAAATAAGTGAATAGCCGTAGACCTAATTAATTATGAAGAAAATGATTTAGGAGATTATGATAATATTGAAATCAAATTCAAAAGTGGCAAAAAACAAAGAACTAAACCTGCTAATTATGAAGAACCAACCGAACCCGATAAAAGAGAACTTTTCCTAAAAAGAGAAGAAATCATATTATTCTTTAATAACTCTACCAAAACCCCTAATTTATTAGATGCTGAAACTATTTACTTGGAGGATTTGTGAGAAACTAAACAAAGGATTAAATGAGACCAAAAAGCCTCCAAAAAGAAAATAATTAATTGAGTAGAACAAAAAGTAGATGGAGAGGATAAAGCCTACAAAATAGACCAATGGGAAAATGATTATATTTTTAATATCCATAACCCTGATATTACCAACGAAATAAAAGCCCATGAAGTCTATTCAGCCACCAATAATAAAGAACGGGAACAATTATGAACCGATTATAAAGAGGAATTTTCCGAATTAAGAAGAGTATACGGCATCCGACATCTCACCTCCAAAAAAGAAGAACGGCAAAATAACCCTGAAATAGAATTAAACGAAGCCCAATTCATAGCCTTAGAAAGAGACAAACGGAGAGAACGGCAAAAAAGTATTAAAGAATTCGAAAATAAAAAAGGCTGTTTAGGAAAACATATTCTAACCTATGGCACTAGTTTCGAACAAAGAGAAGAAAAAGCCTTAGAAATTAAGGAGATGGAAGAGCAAGAGGAAGATAATGAAGTAGAACCATCCCAAGAAAAATATTTAGAAATCAAAAAATAATATGCCAAATAATATAAATTGCTGTGAATTAGCCTTAATTGCCTTTATCGGCAATATAGTTCAATTAGTTTTCTTTTTTAACTACTCTTTAAAACTAAAAGATAAAAGTATAAAGTTAGAAAAAGAACAGCAAATTAAACATAATCAAAACTGCCGACAGATAGAGGAATTAAAGGAGGAGATTAGGAAGTTAAAAGCCGAAAGAAAGTAAATAAATATGAAAAATAACTGAACTAATAAACCCCTTAAAAATTATTAAAAGAAAAAGTATTACATTAATCGGAATACTAAAAAATCCTCTGAACCACCAATAGAATATTATTATAATCCTCAAAAAAAGAGTGAGGCAGTAGAATTAGCAAATAACCATGAATAAAGACCAATTACAAAAAGAATTAAAAGAAAAAAT